TCAACTCCAATGCAGCAGATTCAAAGCTTTGGGTATTCCAATGAGAACGCGAGAATGGGAGGTGCGAAAAAGATGGAATGAAATGATAGCAGTTAAATTAGGTACTGGCAGTCATATACTACCGACAGACCCCCGAAATTCACCAAACCTTATCTCTCTTCTTCCAACAATTCTCAGATCTCCCTGTGTTTGGTAAACAACAACCGCGGGCTACATTTGTCATTTACGTTAGATTTTTATTTTTATCAGAGCGCCACAAGAATAACCCGAACTCGCATGATTCGTTCGACCCAATCCTACTTGATCATATTTAATCGGGTATTTGATTTAAAAAAACATTCATTGGTTAAATATGTACGAAACCGCACATAATGGGTAGGGTTGTGGATTTGAAATCTCAAACCCGATCGTAGCCGACCTGGTTAAAAATTCATTTTGTTGTTATTTTGTTATAATGTTTTCTTGAATAATTTCAATTTACGACCAATGTGCTTTATCTAGGACTTTATGATATTAGAATTGTAATTAAACATTTATCATTTTGACTAGGTGATTATTATATATTTACATTTGTTTCTAAATGAACTTCCTTTACATAAAGATGTTTCAATACTATTACCCAATGTTTTTTTATAAAGGGTACTTGTATTTGTTTGTGTGTTTTGGAAACAAGTTAATCGAGTTTCAAATTGGTTATATTAGTTTCTCACATTAAAGATGCAACCCGATGTGATTTTTTTCAAAATCCGACCCTACCCGACCCGTTCGTGTATGATTTACCAACTTATATTGCATATCACGGGTTGGTTTATAGCCAACCTGAACAAATTGGGTAGGCCAAAAAAATATAGCAAACACGCCCCATGTGCAGCCCTAATTTTTATTTTCATATTCAAACTCTCCTGTCTTCTTATCTTTTTGGATGTCTAAATTTTTTTTCTCCTCGTTTCTCTTTTTGAAAGGTTTGTGTGGTTATTATTCATTTACCTTTTTTTACTCAAACACAATCATACATTTTCAATTTATTCTCACCTTCTTAAACTCCGATCTAAGTCAAATCGGAAGAATTTTTCGGTACAGAGGGAGTATCAATTAATAAATTTAATTATTAAATAAAAACAAATGAATAGTAATGATTTTTGGGTTAAACGAAATACACACTGAGGTGTTCCTCAAATTTTTTGGTTTCACCTAATGCACATTACAGTTAAACGTAATTTTCAGCCACAAAAAATTTAAGCCAAAAATACGGTTAAACGTAATCGTTTGACACAAATTTTAAGAGGAACACCTCAAATCCTGAGGAACATACACGAAAAAATTCAGTCAAAAATACCACCGAGAACTACCTCAAATTTGGGTTCTCGTTTTAAGAGGGGTTCTCACTAGAACCCTCCCCACATATATATATATATATATATATATATATATATATATATATATATATATATATATATATATATATATATATATAGGTTTTGGTTCAAATAAGAACATGATCTTAGGAGAGAAATGAGAATGAATCTGGACCGTTAGATTTGCTTTAAGTGAAATTCAATGTGCATTAGATGAAACCGTAATGTGCATTAGGTGAAATTGAAATGTGCATCACAAATGGTACGACACAGTGACATTATGTGAAGCTGAATTGTGCATTAGGTGAAACTGAAATGTGCAGAATAAAAGGTACGATGTGATGTTATTTTTGTACCTTTTATTCCGCACATTTCAGTTTCACCTAATGCACACTTGGGTTTAAATTTTTATTCTTCATGTTTCAATATCATCTGATACACATTTCAATTTCACCAAACGCACAATACAGTTCCACATAATACAATCCAACGGTCCAGATTCGTTCTCATTTCTCTACTGGGAGTCCGTTCTTACCGGAACCGCTATATATATATATATATATATGTATGTGTGTGTGTGTGTGTGTGTGTAGCTAGGGAAGAATTCAAATGAAAAGTGATCTTCCTGTGCAAAGTGCAAAGTTTTCACTTTTTCATGTTTCGCTTGCACATTTTCTTGTTTGCGTTGCACTTTTTGTTCATTTTGATTTTGGCCAAATTCGGCCAAAACGACGGTGTCAGATTTGTAAATAACCCAATTTTTTAGCTACCACGAAAAAGTTAAACGAAATCAAGAAAAAGTGCAAGCGAAACATGAAAAAGTGCAAACTTTGCACTTTGCACGTTAAGACCACTTTTTATTTGAACAATCCCCTATGTGTGTGTGTGTGTGTGTGTGTGTGTGTGTAGAGTGGTATTCCTATCCGGCCGGTTCGGACAGGACCACCGTCCGGCCTCCGCCTTTTGAGACGGTTTTCAGTGGTATTTTTGGCTGAATTTTTTTGTGTATGTTGCTCATCACGTCTAGTTCATCCATACCAAATTTCATAAACAAATTCAATCCGGAAAGTTGTCAATTGATTTTTGCATGATAACTGCTCCGGAATATACATATATAAAATTTGTATATTTGTATATAAAAATTTGACGACCTTCTCGATTAAATTTGTTTATGAAATTTGGTTTGGATGAACTAGACTTGATGAGGAACATACAAAAAGAATTTCAGCCAAAAAAACCACCGGGAACCGCCTCAAAATACGGAGTCCGGACGGTGGTCCTGTCCGAACCGGCCGGATAGGAACATTTGTATATATATAGAGAACTTATCTTGTCCGAACGTTCGGACAGGAGGCACCGTCCGAACACCGCCTTTTTGGGCGGTTCCCGATCGAATTTTTTTATGAAATTTTTATGGTATGTTCTTCATCAAGTCTAGTTTATCCACAAAAACTTTCAGCTCAAAATTCGATCGGGAAGGCCTTCAAATGATTTTTTGAACTTGACTACGCCAAATTATACATAGAAAAATGCAGTCAACTTCAAAAAATCATTTGAAGGCCTTCCCGATCGAATTTGGAGCTGAATATTTTTGTGGATAAACTAGATTTGATGAAGAACTTACCATAAAAATTTCATCAAAAAATTCGACCAGAAACCTTCCCGAATGGCGGTGTTTGGACGGAGACCGAGGTCCGAACGTTCGGACCTGATCATTTGTGTATGTATGTATATATATATATATATATATATATATATATATATATATATATATATAGAATTGGGATCATATACAAAGTCTTCTTAATTTACAAAATGCAAATAGATCTCAGCCCTCTATTTTAGTTGATAGAACCGTAGCTTTCATCTTGATTATATTAGACAATTAAGGGCTTATTAGTCTTTTAGGTATATTTTATTTTTAGAAATAAAATCGTGTCTGATTACGTTCAATTATTTCTCTCTTGCACGTTCATTCAGCCATATCTTTAGGATCAAAACTTCACCATTTCTATCTCTTCTCCATCTCCATCTCCTCCTCAATCTCATATTTTAATAGAATCAGATTGGTGTTCTTCTACTCAAGTGTTCTTCTATTCGAATATCCTGAATTTTGGCACGTATAAGGAGACGCCAGAGATCAGACCATTAGTTCTCGAATGCCGGAACTATATTATGAACGTCAGAAAAACATTATTTTTTCTTTTATGAAATCCATCAATTTTGTGTTCATACAAAGTTCTTGTAAATTTAGCAACAAAAGTGTTGTATTTCTTTATCATTTAGAATAAATTTCCTATATATTTTGCATTTGTGTTCTCATGAATTACGTATGCATGTGAATTGAGTATACTAGTATAATGCAGATGGCATAATGATAAGATGCAAAATATGAACTCCTAAAAAGCACATATGTGCAGTTAACATATGATGTAAAAGCACAATATGTGAATTGTGTTAATGAGCAGCAGCTCTTGTAATTTTAGTATCTAAAAATATTGTAATTTTAATGTGCAGTTTTTTTACTATTTAAAAAATGTTTCTTATATATTATGTATCTTGGGACATCACGAATCACGTATGCATGTCAGTTGACTATACAATGCAGATGTCATAACGATAAGATGCAGCATATGAACTACTACAATGCACATGTCATCTTACTAAAATGCAGTGTATGAACTTCGACAATGCACACGTCATCTTACCAAAATGCAGTGTATGAACTTCTAAAATGCACATATCATAATGATAAAATGCAACTTATGCACTCTATACTAAAATGCATATGCCATAGCACTATGATGCAGTATGAACTTCTAAAGTGTACATATTTGAAAACGCAATATACGAACTTGTAAAATGCACATGTTATAAAGATAACATGCAACATACAAACGACTAAAATGCAACGTTGACATATTTTATCACGATGCAATTCTAATATAATTTATGGAGACATTATAAATGTACAATGCACATCACGTAACCTTAATATGCACCTCCTGAAACTCTAATATGCACATCTGGTAACCTTAATATGCACACACTTCTAACAATGCTCATTTCATTCAAGAGCTCTATAATACTTACCATCTTTATGTTTTGAAAAATGGTAGTTTAATTACGTAGATTCTGATTCTATATTTCCAAATATTATTTTAGTAAAAGCTTTCATAAAATATTAATTACAAAATGGTAAGTTTCTTTTACGTTTATGGTTAGCATTAATCTAGAGGTCTAGTCATTAAACTATTGCCAAAAATAACTAGAACTACCGGACACTTTTAATTTGTAAATTACTATAGTATCCCTTCTTACTAACCGTTCCATTTATAGTTGTCAATTTTGTTGTGATTCCATGTGTCGTCCACATCCCCTTATCATGCATCTCACACGGATGCCCTTTATTTAGTACAAACGGACGCACGAGATTAGTTTGTAGTTTGTATGGGAGGACTGGTTTGCATGTGATCTTGCCTCTATATATATATATATATATATATATATATATATATATATATATATATATATATATATATATATATATATATATATATATATATATATATATGTATATGTATATATACTAGCTGGGCGGCGCGCGGTGCGTGTGAATCATGCCCAATGGTAGTAGCAAAGACAAAACATTATGGGGAACAATATTTTAAAACATTGAGTGTAAGCAGTAAGTTAATCACTTAGATAAATCCTATCATTGTTTAAAAGGATTTGAATGAAAGAGAGTTGTTGGATGATTGCAATGTTAGTGTTGATATAAATAACGGGGCAGCCAAAATAAACAAGAATCCATCGCAAAAGTGTTGTAACGTTTCAGTGGATTAAGAAGGGCCGGAATGGTTGATGTATGAAGCGCTGCAGATTTCGTACTTGTGATTGTGGGTGGGTGGGTCTTCTATGCCACATTGTGCCATGGTAATGAGTCTAACTCTACCCCTTCCATACTTGAAGAATGCGATGGTTGTTTGTTTTTTGAGGTCAAAACTCATTTGAAGTTTGCGAAGTATTGGGTCTTCTTTTGTTACCAGATGTGTGTCCTCTGTTCGAAGGAAGGCTTGGAGGCGGCCTCGTTTGTCGCTGGATTGGCGCAAGAAAGCTTCACAAGTTTGTTGTATCGAAAACACAAATGTATGCTGGTGTCAAGCATTAAATATACACGATAAGGGAGGTAATTCGGAATAGGTGGACAAAGAAATACCTTTGCAGTCTGGTTAGGAATATATAAAAATGAGGGTGGGCAGTACATTTGGTTGTACGAGCAGTTGGGCAAACATGATTCAACGTACATATAGAATGGGTCTGCAATAGACAAGAATACACATTATGTGGTGATTAATTTAATGGACAAAAATATATTGTGGTACTTAAAATTGTAGATTGCAGGAACACAATGAATAGGGGAATACATTGAAAACATGTGTAAGTGAATCTGTATCTAATTCAAGATGTATTGGACAAGTGGGGAAAATAATAAATGGGGTTCGATGGGTTAGTAAAATAGTTCAATGCATAGGAAAACATACATGGGGGTATAATCGATGATAGAACCTGAAGGTGTTCCAGCCAAGTTCAAAGAGAAGCCTTCTCTGTCAAACATTAGGACTTGGAATGTGAAATCACCAATGTGCCTTAACACGACATGGCTGCCAAATGGAATGTTGTTCTCTATGAAGAAGTCTGCAAAGCCGTCAGTGAAGATAAAGTTGTCAACCTTTATTGTCCAGGTGTTGGGTCCATAAAAAAGTCTAGCATATGCTCTGGTGTGTTCAAGCAAATGCCTATGCATACATAGAGGAATTTTATGAACAATAAATGAGACAAAGTAAGTATAGTAAAATGTTGGAACTTAATAACAATCATACAATGCAAACGAGGTAATTCAATGCGGGTATTGTACAACAAATTCAATGTCAGGTACAGTAAGTAGAAACCAGACGATCGCAAATTGTAGCATGTCTGGGAAATGAATAGAGCCAGTTTGAGGGCAAACTGTGGAAAAGCACAATAAGGAAAAGATGAAAATTAGAAAAGTTGTAAAAGGAAGTGAACAGCAGAGGGGGCGTTTTGGAGGACAGAAGACTTGCAAGGTGAGGCAGTGAAGCACCTCGCTGCACAAAGTGCCTGAGTTTGTGCTCCAGCTCTGTTTTGTTTCTGAACGATGTCGGCAGTAATCGAAAGTAACCAGTGGCGTTCAAAAAGTGTTTCCAATCAGGATTTGTTGTGCAGTCAGCTTGAGGCGCTGCAGTAGGGTCGATTGTAGCAACAATAATGCGTTTGCCATGCACGGTGTGAACATAGTATCTGAATGCATCATTGCCGCCACTATCAGTTATTTTATCAACAGTACACGTGGACAACAAATCTATGAGAAATGTGTGCACAAAACAAAAGACACGATCAAAGTTTGGGACAAGCAAACACTCAATACAAATGTAAGGCAATGTAGATCAAGCAACCATACAACCATTACAAGGTTGAATTGAAAAGGAAGACTACCCACAAAGACCAAGCAAGACTACCCTAAAAAACATTTCATCAAAAAAGTTCCAAATGTGTTTAAGGCCTGCTTAAAACATATTGTAAAATCAATGGCATAAATACAAACCAATGAAATCAATACGGTTTGTATTTTTTGAAATTTTCCTAATTTGGCTTGTTTGGATTAGGATGGTATTTAGGTTTCAAGCATGTATGTTTTCAAACAATGTAGTTGGTTGGAATGATATTAAAATTATAGTTTATAGAAGCAATTAATTAATTAACATTAGTTAGAAGTGTTAATTAATGCAATAAAAATTGTTGGCTCTTTTAGGGCAGAAACATCTATAGATTTTTTGTTTCACATTTTCACCCTAATTCAAAAAACGCAAATTAAAAAGGGAAAACCCAGATTCATGATGAATTGATGATGATGATATCCAGGGAAGCAATAACTACAAGAACAGGAAAAGGTAGCATATGTTTGGGATGCTCCATTAAGGATGTTTTTACTTGGACTGTAATTCCTCCCAGACCAGACCAGACCAGACCAGACCAGACCAGACTTAGATAGTTATAAAAATACAAAGAAACCAGACCAGACCAGACCAGACTAGACCAGACCAGATCAGACCAGACCAGACCAGACCAGCAAATTACAGTCCAAGTAAAAACATCCTAAGGCACCAGAAGTTTTAAAAGAGTTTGAGTAAGTACTGAAAGTGTTGGAGATGTTCAGATAAGAACCAAAATTGCTAAAGATGCTCAGGTGAGCACAAGGTAAAAAAGTAGTGTTTCAGTGTTTCAACAAGGGCAGCGAACATTGTTGAAATTTTGAGTTCAATATTTCAAGTGAGCTTTTTTACTCTGAATCCAAGATCAAGTTTTTACATTCATTAGTAAATTTTGATGCGTTCAAATGGTTAAAAGCTTTAAATTTAAGACCAAGTTTTAAAGTTCAACCTTTTTTCAAAAGTTCAAGTTATGTGGCATGTTTGAGCATATAAGCTTTAGCTTATCACTAAAAGTTTAAACCATTTAGATCAGCCTGGAAGCTCACACAGCACAAACGTCTCTGCTCTTTAAAGAGAGTTTCCCTCATCAGAAATGCAGAAGAGATGTGAGAAGTGTTATGTGTTTATGAGCAATTACTTATTGTATTAAGGAAGTGTCTGGTGGTGGGTTTGTTATTTTACAAAACAGTAATCAAGTGGGTGGGAATATATTATGAAAACAAACAAAGAACATGGAAGATGGGTCACTCTGTTTAGGACTAGCAAAGAGAGAAAGGATGGAAGATTGGTTTGTATTTATGCCATTGTATTCCACGCGCATCGTGTGTCACCCTCAAAAACATATCATCAAAAAAGTTTCAAATGAACATACCGTTTTTATGTTTATGTTCAGAAAATGGTATGCTCAAAAACGTTTCATCAAAAATGTTCCAAATGTATGTTATACACATTTGGTCTGTTTATAAACCCCCGTTTGTATATGAAATAAAAGAAAAATGGCGTTGAAGAACAGCCCATATTCAGCACGGGAGTTTGAACTTAATAAATAGAAACCAAGTTAGGAAAATTGCAGAAAATACAAACTGTTTTGATACCATAAATAACACAACAATAAGGAAGCAAAGACAGAACAAAAGGCAACATGAAATGGTGTGAACAACCATGATGCACTACGTTTGGTGAAAAAAACGCACAGAAAAAATAAAAAATTAACTAATATAAAGAGAAAATGACCCACAAGAAAAACAATAAGACAACAAATAAGGATTGCAGCGTGGATTAAGAAATAGTTCCTGAAGAGCAACAACGCGTAAGAGAGAAGAGGAGTAAGAATGGAAGAAAATAAAATAGAAAGGGGAGAACATACCTGTCAACACAAACGCTCGATACGCAGGGCAGCGGCGATGGTGATGGCGGGTGGTGACTGCGGTGAATGAGCGTAAGAATGAACGGACCTTGGGAGTGTTTTCTGGAAAGAAGTTGGTCGATGAAAACGCGCAAAGGTCATTGGGGGAGTTGGGCGGTTAAAAGAACAGGCAATAAAGGAAAAAGTGGAAAAGGCTATGTACAATTTTTTTTAAAAGAGCCACATGTGTGTGCAGCAGAGAAAATAAGTGTGTTTGCAGACATGAAAAACAATGCAGTATACCGTTTTTTTATTTAATTTAAATCAAAAATAAGAGTACAGAATGATCAGTAATAACAATAATAAACAAAACATCACTATTAATGAAAATAATAATAATAACGACAATGATTACAAGTATAATTTCGTAGTTACATAAATATCTTTATTACTTATATAAGTAGTGACCTGAGTGGGTATTTATGAGGCGAATGACCATACATCGCAAGACAATCGGGATGACCATTTATACAAGCATTCGAATCGTGCTTAATTTGGGTATCAACTTGTCGCTAATAGAGCGTACCTAGGATAGTAATCATAATAATAGTGATTACAACAATAATTGTAATGAAAAAAACAATTATAACAATAACAAAATTTATAAAAGCAATAAGCGCTGTTTTTTTGTCATTTAATATGTGATTTGTGTAATGTTGTATGGTGTGATGGGCAAAAGTAGAAAATTAAAATATAACAATTTGAAAACAACAATGGAGGGACAAAGGGTAGGCAATGAGTTGGAGAAAAACAGATGAATACCGTATTCACTTTTACGGGCAAATTAGATTGTAGAGTTTATTGGATGGTTGGTTTCCCGAACAGCTCAAGAATATATTTTCGAGTTATTTCTTGCATCCTGCAAATGCATGAAAATGCAACAAATACATGTGAAAATATAAAAGATTTTACGTAGTACAATGGGGTTGGTCTGCAAAAAATATGGCATACGAACTGTGTGGTTTACAATATTTCATTATGTGGAGCTACCATGATCAACCAAGGAGTGGAAAATATGATCACAAGTGAGGGTTAATGAAGTAGGCAGTAAGGCCTAACATTACATGGTACATCATCCCTACTATTAACTATGCATGATGATGATGTTTCCACCCTAAACTTGTGTGAGTTTTGAACAAAACAATGTTTATATATACAACACAAGGCACATGAACCGAGCACGTAAACCAGAGGTGGCAAAAAGGGGTAACGAGGTCAGTTAGGTTTTGCGCTTGTTGGGGCGCAAGTTAGCAACGAGGTCATCCTCAGCATCTTCTTTATCGGCAACCAATGGAGATGGAATATCAGCATCAGTCTGGGTTGTGAATGCAAGTTTCCTCTTGGGTGGGACAACATGAGCATCATTGGAGCTTGTGGATGCAAGCTCGGTTGGTAGTGTAATTAGCATTGTTCCTTTCTCCGGGGAAACACACACAACACTATAAGGGTTGTTGGTCCCTGTTGTACTGGATACAGTCTAGAGGGGGGGTGAATAGACTGTATTGGTTTTTAACGTTTTCAAGCTAAGTACCAGATTTAACAGAATAACCTGTTCTGTTGACAGAACAGACTGGCAGCGGATGGGGTTCTGGTAGAGAGTTCTGTTAGTTTAGCCTCAGAGAAGCAAAGGCAGTAGGCCTTCTGTTAACTCACAAGACAAGTTCTACTGAACACAGATACCAAGTCTTTGGAGTTAAACAGTTCAAATAAAAACTTTAAGTAAAAATCAGTAAGTAAATGACACCAGGACTTTTTATAGTGGTTCAAGGAACAACTTGTTCCTCTAGTCCACTGTTCCACTAAGCTTGTAAAAACGACCGTTTACAATGCCTTAGCCCTATCACTTAAGAAGCTCTCCACGTCTTCTTCAAGTGTAGATGTCTCCTTGGATGCGCTTCGTGCTTCCTTAAGACTGGTCCTTTCATTGAGCTTTCCCGGAAGTATCACCACTTCACTGCTCCAGGTACTTGGACGTCCTTCTTGTGAAAGAAGAGTTTCTGATAAAAACAGGGGTTCCTCCAACTTGCTTAGTTACAAAAGGTTTGTATATGAAGTGCTTGAAGAGTTGAAGAACGATGAGAACTTTGCTTGAGTTGGAAGTAGGAAGCTTTCCAACGTGTGCCTTCACTTGTAGAAGATAATGAAGAATCTCAAGGAGGCTTTTTGCGTTTTTCGGTTGTTCGGTTGTTCTTCGGAGTGTATCTTTTATACTGAGGTTGTCTTCCCGTTGGAGGAGAAGGAGGACAACTGCATTAAATAAGCGAGCAGTTGACTTGACCAGTAGGACCCGGCAAAGTTGGCGGGTTACTATTTTGGGATAAAGCTATCCTGACATTGCGGCCAATCATCTGCATTTACTCTACAAAGTACGAGAGGCATTAAATGTGCATTTAATGTGCGTACTGTAGCTTTTCCGTTCAAGACTCCTAGCCGTTGAGGGAATCTTTCAGTTGGTTTACCGGCTTGGTGAAATTCTTCTAAGTGTCAGGCCTTCTGGTGTCTTTAGCAGAGAGTTGATCAGAGAAGGCCTTCAGCACTTCTGTAGAGGGTTTCTGTTGAAGAAATATCCAACAGAGAACCAGGAGGGTTTCTGTCAGAGTAAAGGTTAACAAAGACCCTGAGGTCTTCTGTTCTGGAGCAGAGAACCAAAGGTCTTCTGTTCTGGAGCAGAGAACTAAAGGTCTTCTGTTCTGGAGGCCTTCTGCTCTGGAGGCCTTCTGCTCTGGAAGCCTTCTGCTCTGGAGGCCTTCTGCCAGTCGATTATACTAAGGAACTTTACAAGGAAAAATTATAATACATTAAATCTAAAGAGGGGTACTCTAAAGTCCTAATTGATATAGCATCATCAAAATCTAATTACAAATATTCCTTACAAGGGTTCCCACGTAGGCCTTCTTCACCGATTTTGGCGCGCTTCACGCCAGCAATAACAGACATCTTTTGCAGTTGTGCATCAAGTGCATTGATGTCGAAGTTTTTTTCATGATCCATGCAAACGTAACCATACAGCTTTAGTACGCCGTTTGTGAAGAATGTCACCGGAAAGGTAGCGGTACTGTCAGTGAGTGTGGCGTTGAGTATAAATCTGGATGAATGTGAACACATTAAGAGTGAAAGATAAAATGATAATAGCTTAGATTGTGATATGAGGCACACACCGCTTCACTGTGCGGCCTTCCTTTTGTCCACAGAACATGCATTGGAAAGTGCTGCCTTCTGGCGCGTAAACACGACGATTGCAATAATCACAGTCGATGTAGTACGACTCTCCAGAAGTGTCACTTAGGTTCAACTTGCCACACATCCAGACAATTGGCACCTACAGTTGCAAAGATAGTCAGTATAATACAGATGGCATAGATGTATGTAGCAGACATTCACAGGACATACCTTATTAAGGTTAGTTTCTAGTGAAGCAAGAAGTGTTTGGGGCTGTGAGAGGGGGCAAGCTATATTTCCAAGAGCATGGTCGTATTGCTTCTCAAACAACAATTGTTCGATCCTTGCGCTGTTCTCTCTGGCCCTGTTAGTAAGCAAAAGAAATAATCCATGGAGCACTTAGCAAATCAGGGGGATATGGGAGGCGCGAGGGAAAAAATGAAAACCTACAAATTGCAAGAACAAAAAAAGGAAGGCACCATTTTTTTAGCACCAGCGCGCGATCACCGCCCGGGTTTAATTCCATGTGCGAATCATAGCGAGTTGACAGTGATAGGCCTGCAAGAAACAAAAAAATGTGTTACAAAAAACACAGTGATTTTATAGCTGCAATTAGAGTGGGAACAAGAAGTACCTTGATAGATATTTGCAGCAGCCCTGGTGACAAATATAACTGGCCATTAACCAGATTGCAAAAACTTGTCAATTTCCGCACCATGGCGGGTCACAAACTCTTCCCACATGGTCACAGGCACAAATGTTAGCCTGAAATTAAGGAATGTAAGAACACCACGTGTTTATTAGGACAAAGGCATGTTATATAGGGAACAAAGGTAATCTTACTCTTCATTAACCACAACGACGTCCCATGCAAGTGTTTGCTCATCACCAGTCACTATGATGGTTCGGGGCAGTTTAGCAGCAATAACATCCATTAAACCTACAAAGAACACGTGAATAACAGCGAATAACAGAAGGCAGGGGCATAGTGTGAGGGAAAAGATGAGATGTACTTACTTTTTGAGCAGCTAAGTAACAGGCAAAGATCTCTCGGAAAGGTTCGGTGGTATTTTGAGCAATCTGTCGAAAGTCCACCCCTTCTTCAGGGGCAACATCCTGGATGAATGTGCGTCTTGTGAATGACCACACATATTGGTAGTTGTGGTCTACACAGAAGCGCAGATCAGTCAATGGCTTCACATATGCACTAGAAATGAGGTAGGTCGAGTACAACTGCAGCTGCGCATCAATTCCATAGATGTCGCCTGCAAAAGCAGTTGCCTGCACTCTATTCCCCTATAAGACGACCGTGAAAAAATGAGCAAATGTATAGGGAGTTGTTGTAATATTATAACAAACATAACCAATCTAGTTTCAGCTCACAGCACAATCAACGAGAACCAGGGGCATAAATTTCATGGGAGAAGATTTTGCGGTTCATATGTTTTGTTTTTCCACCACAGTTACGCGACATGTCCAGTTTTGTGTTTCTGGCTTGATATCCACTATTAAAAATTCTGTCGACATGGCTTTAGAAAATCTGCAACATTAGAGGGAAAACAATTTAAAACAAAAGAAGAAAATGAATCGAAAAGAGGAAGGCAGGCTTATTTTAAATAATGGGGACAAACCTATGAGCATGAGGACTTAATTGATGAAAGGCAGTATCTCATCGTAGACAATATTATAAGTAGTGTTAGTACGATTCGAGTCATGTTCGTCAGGGCAAATAAGTATTTTAATGGAATTTGCATTTTTGGCTCTTGACATTGCAACATAGAGCTGGCCATGGGAAAATACCGGCTCTCTCAAATAGATTCCAACAAAGTCCAATGTTTGGCCTTGTGATTTATTTATTGTCATGGCGAAGCAAAATTTTATTGGAAATTGAGTACGTTTGAGGACAGAATGGTCATCGTTGGAAACTTCTAGAGGTATTTTTGGGATAAAGACATGTGTGCCCTTATGGTCCCCTGAGGCAATGTGGCAACTCAATATGCGTTCCGCAAATGAATCACATATCAAGCGAGTACCGTTACATAGACCCTCACAGGGATTAAGATTTCGAATCAACATGACTCGGCAATTATGTTTGAGGGTTAACTTATGGGGTGGCAAACCAGTTGGGGATAATGTGTGAAGGTAATCCTCACAGTGTGCGTTCTTTGAATCTGTAGGAACATCATAGCTTAGATATGTGTGTGCTTCACCTGGGAACCTTTCTATCAAATGTGAGTTAATGAAGTCAACCATGACATTTGTGGGTGTCAATATGGAACGTGACATGACTGCAGATGGATCACTTTCAAACAAATTCATGTCTGGGTAAATAGATTCGCAAAGTAGATCCAGTGAGGTTGCCTCACTCACCCAAGGAAGCAGAAAATGGGAAGGAATCTTAATCCTTCCCGGTGACAGCTGCGCTTCTGTCCCATTGCCAATACGCATCAAGTATCCACAGAATCGTGGATCTTCATGCGCGCGCATATTTTGAGTCAAACGAAGCCGATGGAAATGTGGCCATATTGTCACTGATCAGACAAGACATGCGTTGATAAAGTCTGCACACGTTCCAGAGCGCACAACGGGCAATGTTTGCCTGAAATCACCACCAAACACAACAACACTCCCCCCGAAGAGAGTATCCACACCCAAAATGTCCTTCAGTGTTGTGTCCAAACTTTCCACAATCATGTGGTTAGCCATGGATGCCTTATACCAAAGAATAAGTCTTGCTTCCCTAGTAAGTCTAGCCTCTGCAGATTGTTTCCCAATATTACAAGTGTATTTTGCTTCTCCATCTAACGGGAGCTTAAATCGGGAGTGGGCAGTGCGTCCCCCAGGCAAAATGGATGCTGCAATTCCAGAGCTAGCTGTAGCAAGTGCAACCCACTTGTTTGTTCTAATTGCTGCAAGTAAACACGTGTATAGGAAAGTCTTTCCTGTCCCATCAGGGCCATCCACAAAGAAAACTGCCCCCTCAGCTGCACGTACAGCTGCCACAATGGTTTCAAATGCCAACCGCTGCTCATTATTCAAAAAGGATATGCCAGCAAGATCCGCTTCACTAATCACTATATTGTGTTCAGCCAATACCTCACGAGGAGTCGCAGTGCACAAGGGGATTTCCAGGTCATCATCAAGAATGGCAAAGGAATTGATATCCCGACCCATTTCACTTATTAGATCCCTCAGTAAAGCCAAAACTGCCCTTTCTGCATCCATAAATGGCTGAAATCTGAGCAGATCCTCGCATAGATGTACCTTGTACTCAAGCCAAAGTGTTCATGGGTCTGGTACGGCAGGATAGCAAAGATGTGTTGCAAAGAGCCTCCGTAAACTGGAAGGCAGCTGGAATATTACAGCTTCATCAAGAGAAGCACGCACTATGAAATCTCCAGACAGCAAACACAAACGTTCTGCAGCAAATCTAAATGTGGAAAGTACCTCACAATTGATACATTTGAGTTCAGAAAAAGATTTCGGTGCAAGAACATTAGCAAGTAACAAACGAAGATAATATCGTTCTCCTTCAGTGGGATTTACAGAAACAAGACGACCAAGAACCTCCTGTCTTTTCCGCTGAGCCCATTCTTTTTTGTGGGCAGTCCAAACAAAGTAGTGGGAAAATTCTAGATACAGGAGGTTCAAGTTGATCGTAACTTGGTTGGTTGCATTCATCCAAAAGAATTGAGTAAGCATAGTTTTCATCGAATCAGGTGCCTGTGTTATGTAGGTTGTACGTTGATCTCCATTAAACAAAAGGTATTGAGCGTTCTCTAAATGAACCTGTAACAGCAAAACAGCAGGTTTCATTTCAGCAATTGGAAAGCCAAAGATGCGCCATGCGGCCTCGGGAGGAGAAACCCATCGTGCCCTTTGAAAGTTTGTGATTTCATCAATAACCTCGTCGGTCCTTGTTTGTGACAAAGACATGATGATCCTGTCATGCCCTTTATATACGTATTTGTATATGTATTTTACAGATTTGACACTTGCACAAGATTCCACATTGATATATCAATCATATTTCTTCAATAGTTGCGTGTTGTAAGGGACAACCCACATATTGTCAAGCGCATGCTTTCTGACTGTCACAGTCAACCCAGAATTCCGCCTCCTATAGGTAGGGAAGCAATTTGCATCGAATGTCGTCGTAGGAACAAAGGCACACAGATATTTACTTCTGCACTTTGCTGAGATTGACCCATGTGAAACAACCATTCACGGACAATCAGGATTCATGAGCCCGCAAGGCCCGTGTATCATGTGTTTTTTCACAAGGACAAACATCAGCGGGTCTGCAATTGGATCAGGTAGTTCAGCAGTAATGATGCGATCACATTGGGCAGGAGTTGTGATTTTGCAGGGAACGCCTAAGATGAGCAAAAAGTGAGCATGGGGGAGGCCTCGTTTTTGAAATTCGATCACATATGTGTAGGCAACTACTTTTCCAAGTAAAGACTTTGTTATTATGTCCTTTTTGAAGGCTTCCAAATGAGCACGAAACACGCGAGCCACAAGGTCTGGTCTATTCTGAGCCTCATCAGCAAGTAACAGGCGCTTTTTAATCTCAGGTCAATTGGGGTTACAAGTGATGGTTATGAACAAGTCTGGTTTACCGTACTTCTGTACAAGTGTCATCGCATCCATGTATCGGCCACGCATATCACGTGGGCCACCTATGAAAGAACTGGGCAAGATCACGCGCCTGCCAACATCGCTAGTGTTGTGTAAACCCGATTCAACACTATCCACCAAGCCCTGATATGTTTCTGAGCGACAATCACGTCGTTTACTACGGTAATAATCAAGTCGTTGGGTTTATATTTTGATATATATGTCAACACCATATTGCTGAAATAGCCTGCCAGTATGCACTACAAATGATGCATCTTCATGGAGGAGCTGCAACTTGTATGCATAATATTGGTGACATGATACGAAATGATTTTTCGGGCGAGTCGCAAGTAGAGTTTCTCCAGAACCAAATTCATTGCAAATGACAGACAATGAGGCTGGAGCGAGTGAGACACTGCATGGCGAAGCAAACTGCCTTTGGAATACCCTCATGCCAGCCCAACTCTCCATGAGGAAAAAGGAGGGGGTATTGTAATGGATCATAACATCCGTAGTAGTAATTCACGTTTTGAGATTTCTCACTGCGTGAGTACACACGAATGTTCCTAGTTGAAGGAAGTCCCTCATAACCATCCTCAACCCAGACAGTAGCGACCTGAGATGCAGTGGGCTTGTTGTAGACATGCTGGTCCAGGCATGGATTTGCTTTTACCACAATGGAGAATTCTTCACTATGATCCACATTAGCAAGTGTTTTGAAAAATTGGGCGTACGGGTTGGTAGACAATACATGCATCAAGATTGTGACAACATCTTTATCCAATCAGGCCGTATATTCTAATCTCTCATCAACAACATAATCGAAGTCATAGAAATAGAGCTGCAAATTCTGAGGTGGACAGCCATCCGGGAGCAGGTCATTGAGACGAAATGGTAAATTTGTCCTTGAACTCTGAAAGTGTATATCCCCTGATTGCGCCGACACAACTGTTTGTCATAGTTGTAAATCCCAATCGATGTGAATGCAAAGGTGTTTTTGTATGTGCGCACACATGAACGAAAATGTTTCGATAAAGGGTCGTGCGATGTGAACAATTTCTCCAGTTGGGTGGGCATGGCAGTTGAAGCGAGAACAACCTGACCTCGACTGCAACACATACCAGGTGGCTCATACTCAAGTCATTCAGCACCACAAAGCGCACAGGCAGTGACATTATCAAGGATGTAAGTCGCACAAACAACTGAAGCAAAGATGGTGCAGACAGCCACCAGTCAGCACACACAAATATATGAACCCCACACATTTGCACCAGGGAAGTCGAAACAAGCACACAAGTGGGCATAGAGGTTAAAAAAGGGCGACGTTCAGTGAGACAATGGTGAAGGATGTTTTTTTGAATCAGAGGCATGGGATAACGTCAATTGAGCAGCACACAGAATGAGTTCACGATGGATACGTATGTGGTGGATAAACAGAATACAAGAGATGTGGCAGCGCGTTCAATGATTGAATACAAGGGAACAAGTAGCAAACAAAAGAAAAAACACAGAATTAGGAAACATGAATCCATAAAACCATAAATCAAGAAATTAGACCATTATGTGCGCGAAAGGGCGCAGACCTTGATGCTCTTCATTGACACTATCAGGTTGTTCTGGGGCAGTTGAACAGCTTGCACGTTGTCGGGTACATACACCCTGCCTTTCAGGACCCACGCGACGGCGTTTATTCCGACGTTCACGTTGTTCAACCAAAGGGACACGGCTGCCACGACCTCGATGAGGAGGCATCCACAAGCGGACTACGCAAACAAAGGGAAAAGCTAAAGAATATGCTACGATACCAGAACAATCTTCAAAAACAATCAGCAAAAAACACAACACAAAAGGACCCACCCAAGGAAACAGCAACCCAACCTAACCCAATCTAATACGACAATCAAAGGACAATGGATCAAGAAACTGCAACATTGCCTTCAATTGAAGCGAAAAATAAAAACAATACAGATAGTCCAACAAGAAACACCCAACACAAACATAAGGCAACATGAACGAAGTAAACATAGAACCATTACTTAGTCTGCAAATGAAACTGTCAAAGCAAAAGGGCAGCACACTTACACGACGCACAAAGGAAGACGCTGCAACTGGAAAAACCACATATACAGGACCTAAACAAAAATGCCAATTTCAGTGTCAAATCACTAAGAAATGCTAAATAAATTAAACGAAAAAAAGATAACGATGTGAAACCAAATAAGGCTCCCCCCAATCACACATGAACAACATCCCAGTTTACATGTACACCCAAAGAAAATGACTGTGAATCACACCCCATTGTCAGCACAACAGTTGGTACTCGACACACAGAAACCAAATCAGAGAATATCATAAAGCACAAAGCCCTTAAATATCACATAACACACAATAATAATGAAGTAAACAAAGGAAAAACCCACCTGCAAGTGTCCTGAAGAATAACCATCACCACAAACAAAAACAGGAAAAAAAGTGTCAAGTAGCATATTGTGGATTAAAGTAACAGGATATACAAGCAAAGATCACACACAACAAATTCTGAGCTGGCAGTTGTGTATCAACTGCAGATTGAACTATAGTATATCCTCCTATGCAAAGTCTGAACGTGCCTAATACAAACAAAGATCATCCACAAAAAAACAAAGCCACCTTCTTTAAGTGCTACAAATTAAAGTCAATAAAGGACTGTAGCGGAAATCCAATAAACAACTACAAAACACCCAAAAACCGGAAAAGCAAAACCAACAATCACACCCCCAATCTGCGAAATATGAATCGCGCTCCGAACCTGCGAAATATGAATTGCACGATAGAGAAGAAGAGAAACAGAAAAATCTGACCTGATGGAACCAGAGCTAAGAAGAACTGATGTATAAAAAACGGCGCAAGCGACCTCTGAAGACCTACGCAGGAAGCAGAAGACATTTGGATACTTATACACGGCAGCGGATGATCCCTGGCCGCCAAAGACAGCAGATGCAGACGTGCGGTGCCGATCACTCTGGAATCCTACGCGAGTGAAAAACCACGGAAATAAATGGAAGCAGATGTTAGTTGGGATCGCGGCGAATACGAGGAAAAGCGCATACTGTTATGACGGAAAAAAGGCCATGTAACGCCCTTAGCGGCTTAAGTATTTTAGTAGATATGTATGTATATAGGGGTGAAATCACATACAAACTAGTCCTCCCATGCTAACATATAGATTGTCACAAACTGTGCATCTTTACATTATTTGTACTGCATATTGAAGTTCAAAGTGTTGTATATTATTTTTATTACATATTGAAGTTCAAAGTGTTGCATATTATTTGTATTGCATATTGAAGTTCACAGTTTGCATCTTTACATTATTTGTACTGCATATTGAAGTTCAAAGTGCTGCATATTATTGAGTTTGTAGGTTAGTATTTTAAGCATGGTTTGTATTTGATCTCTTATCTATGTGTGTGTGTATATAGACCTATGTAGAAGGTCATTAAAATCTATGTTCAAACGTTTGAATCATTAGTTTTTTATTATATTGACTCTCAAATTGGGTTAAAAAATTAAAAGAATAGATTTAAATAATTCTAGTAGATTCATGCAACTGATCTGACAAGATTTTAAAATGGAGTAATTTCAATTCGGAGTTAAAGATAGATTAAAAATAAAATAATGCATATTATATCGTCTGTATGTTGGATGTATCTAAAACAAAACGTGTTACAAGATATTTAAGAATTACTTCAGAATTTCGAAGACTATTGGCTATGTGTCGATAGGTGTAGCAATGTAAACAAGTATGAATAAAATAATAACACTAATGTGGTGAGACCACGCAATGTGGAGAAAATGTGGATGTTTCAGCAAAATGCACAATTTGGCTGCTTGTTTTTCAACAAAATGTATATGTGTCATTATAAAATTTCATAACTCTTAAACCGATTAATCTATTGTTTATAAGGAGAAAAATCTTCACCGCGAAATTTATTTTAATTTTATATGGTGAAGTAGAAATACCAAATATTTCATTTCTTATCATTTTAATTGTCACAACTCCCAATAAACTTTTCACGTAGTTTAAGATACTCCATATCATTATATGTCCAAATACAACTTAAAAAAATAGTACTCCATATCAATATTTATAGGAGTAAGTTTTTAGTATCATTATAGTATTATTATATACTTTATTAAAGATAATGTAGTCTGTTATTGCTTTTATGGTCGATTTCTTTCTAAAAATTAAAAAGTTAGAATTAATTTGATATAGCCTCCAACTGGTAAAGTGATACGTACAAGAACTCAAGAAGTAATGACTGATAGCTTGTTTTGTGAAGCATACAATTGTCAAAATAATTAAATCTACCAAAATTACCCAAATATTTATTAAAATGAATAAGAGTGGGTGAATTATATGAAAGAATAGCTGAAATAGTTCTATTCAGTAAATTCAGTCATTTCATCTGGAAAATTAATTTAAGGTTTATTTATTTTGATTATTAAGCTAGCAATTTCTTAAAAAAACTAGCAATTTAACACACAAAATCAATGTTAATACATTTGTGACAAAGTTAGCTAATCAGGCAAAGAGGGGTATTTGCAAATTTCAATGGGTCATATCTGAGCTAATATCATTCACTTATCAAAAACAGTTTCTATAGTCTTTTAACTACTCCGTATTAACAAGCTGAATATGATGCTGGAAGAGGGGGACCCATGAAGAGAAGAGCTGTGAGTCTCTATAAAAGGGTGGTGATTCGGGCAAACATGGAGGTAGACGTCGATACTCGATAGGCCAAAAAATGGCAAAGAGGGCAACACTGACTTTAATTTTGACAGGGCATGAGACTAAGGATATTTTTACTTGGACTGTTATTCGTCCCAGACCAGACCAGACCAGATCAGACCAAACCAGACCAGTTCAGACCAGACCAGATTTGGATAGTTATAAAAATACAAAGAAACCAGACCAGATCAGACCAGACTAGACCAGACCAATTCAGACCATACCAGACCAGACCAGATCAAACCAGACCAGACCAGCAAATTACAGTCCAAGTAAAAACATCCTAAGAAAGTATCCTTAGAGGTGACTATTCAAACATGTACTCTCTTTCTTACTTTCTAATGGCTAGAAACATTGAGATGCTTGAGTTAATTTATTTTCCTTCTTCTTTGAACTATTTATTTTATTTTAATTACCATTTAAATAGCATGTTCAAGAATATTGTTAGAGTAGATTACATTGATGAAAGATCAGAGAATTTGTTTGGTCATGACTCATGAGGTGATGAGGGGTCATTCAATTCCATATCACATCTATTGTAGTGCTCTTTTCCTTGCTACTCTTATCATTAATAAACTTGCGCTAAACACACAATTACTTAAATTGAAAGAATACGCAGACAGCTAATTGCATTTGACATGCTTACTCTAAATGCCATATCTATTAATACATAAAAGCAAAAGATTTCTTGGAATGGAAGTTGCCGCTCAAAACCATCAACATCAAGTAGGTCAGCTTTCTAATTTGCAAATAAATATAAAATACGTTGAATAAATTTTATTCCAAAGTTTAAGTTGCCGAAAGATGTTTGGTGTGATGAGGAACAATGTATGTAAGTAGGAACGTGCACATGTTAAAATGGATGTTCATTTTCAATTGGTAAAAACATACGGTGCAGCAATTTGCAATTAGGGGATTGGTTGAGAAAAGATTTGGACATTGTTCACAGAAAATATCTATGAACAGTACATTGTATCTATTGGCTGAATTAGGCGGTGCAACTGTTGGTGCAAGTGTTTGGTGTAGGAGCAAAAATACGTACGCATGTGTAATTTTAATTGGGATTGCAATGAGTTGAAATAATAATATCTCATTGGTTGAATTGGGTGGTGTGAATAGTCAAAATATGAATTCAAATGGTTGAATGGGTGGTTGGTATAGTAACCTTAATTATTGTTTTCAAATTTCTGAATTCTCATTCCCCTATATAAGGAGCCTCCAGGTATCACTCTTCCCACACCAATATACATCAACGATAATGGCTAAAACAGGTTAAATCTATTTCTAAAATGGTTGGGATGTGGTCTATGATTCGTGAGATAGACCAAACTAAAAAGAACTGAAACACATGGATTTCCACCGTCTTTGGAAGCGATCTTTAATGACGAAGAGGTTTTTATTTCTGGATTTATCTTTAGCATTTTTTATTTCGTTCTTAACAAATGATTTTTGTAACAGGGCTCAAAGATTCACGCACATGTTCAAGACCAATTCGTTGGGAAATTTCAGGTTCTATTTAAGGAGGGGCGAATCTTCGCTGTGAAAAGTTTTATGGTTGAGGAAAATTATATGTTTTTCAAAAACAACAATGAGTGCCTACAGGCTGCGGTTTTTTAAAAAGAGATTAAAATTCCCTTTCCTAAACCAAATCTATTCTAATATAAACGCAAAAGAGTTTTGTAAACAGTATTCCCGCCTGAAAAGGTCAAAGCCGAACCACTTGGGCCATAAAGGCCAGGGCAACAAGAGTGTATAGGTAACCCACCCATGATGGATTTCCTCCAACTTTAGAAGTGCTATTTCATGATGAAGAGGTTATCTTAACAACTTAATTTTTCCCCTAGATTTGTGTTGTGTTCTAAAATGGTTTATTTTTTGTTGACAGTGTTCAAAAATTCATGGACACATTCCCGATCAGTTCATTGGCAAATTTTTAAACCTGTTTCGGGAGGGTCGAATTTATGCCGTGAAAAATGTGTTTGGAAAAAGGTTTTCATTGTACGTATTAAATAGCAGTGCAGTTTTATGTAAATGGTTGAGTTGATAAAATGTTGTTTTTCAAGTTGCATGTATCCAAGCCATACATAAGAGTAATAGTGAAAGTTATTAGAGATTATCGAAGGTAAGCAATGCGTAGAGTAGCGTACCTGTAGTCGTCACTGGAGCTTTCGGTGTCCTAAGTCTAACCTATATCTAATTATTACTACGATTATTACAACAATTACATAATGAAATTAAAAAAAAGACATCCTTTTTTGTTGCAGATTTATTAGTGAATACCTGCAAGTTTCAACACATAATATAGCGTAAAAAATATCACATTGTATGAGGAAGTAGGAAGAAATCAAGGAATTATCGGAGTTGATTCAAATTAACAAGTAGGGTAAAACAATATGTTAAATTTTAAAAATCAGATTTCGATATCAGATTATATACCAAATTATATACCAACTATCACCCCCCCCCCCCCCCCCCCCCCGGATTTGTTGCCTTATCCAGGGCAATTTGTTCCACCTCAGCAGTTCTTATTGTTCCACCTCGGCATTTCTAGGGCAATTATTTCCAGTGGCAGATCTAATAATAGATGTTTCCAAATAATCAAAACAGTTCTGGAAACCATGGTATCTATCTCCTATTCTTCTAAAGCGCGGAAGACAGTTGGTTGTGGTTCTATTCCGTCACTACAGGTCCAACGGTGTGTTCTCTCAGTTAATTTCCTTACCTGCTGGTCACCAACGCAAAATATCTCCCTTCTGTGGACCGCACAAGGCTATGATGCAGCTGCTGGGATTGATGATTGTGCAGCGTTTGATCGCCTACAAGTACAGCGATTCAATCTAATCTTATTCCTCTCGACTCCTTCAGTTTGCCCGGTGAGTTCCCTTCCGTTTGTTTTTTAATTTTTTTTATTGGCTTTTTTCTTCCCCTCTTCTTTCATTTTCTATTGGCGATGGGTATTGGTCTGGTTGTGTTGTGTTTCTTTTCCTCTCTGTTGCTGTGGGGGTGGGGGCGTTGGGCTTTTCCGGTGAGTACTATTTGTGTTATGGCGGTGGGTGCTCTCTGGGTTTGCCCCGGATGTCGGCATGAACCCACTTCTGCTATGGCGGTGGGTGTTCTCTGGATTCACAATTTTCGTTGAATACAGTTCTATACCTGCGGTGGGTGTTTCATTTTTTTTATTGGCATTACTCATTTATATAATCTATTCAAAACTACATCACCAGGTGGGTGTATTTCTAATAACTTTCACAATTTTCCGTAAACATACATCTGGATGACTGTGTTTACTGGCAGTCTTCACCTGCAGTTTCGCATGAAATCAACATACCTTCAGCTCCAAACATAATCACTCATGCATCTATAAGAAATCAGATTTAATTTTATTGGTCAAATGTAAAATGAAAATAGATTTAAACATAAGTTTATTTATGAACTATGTTTTACATCAAAATCATACTTTAAACTAGATAACAACTATAAACACATAAGTGAATATTATAATGGTTAAATTTATTGCTGAAAACTTAGGTATTAGCTTATTCTTCTAGAGTCATCATTGAAAATCAGTCATGAAATGTGTTTACTGACAGTCTTCAGCTGCAGTGGCACAAGAAATCAACATAACTTCAGCTCCAAACATGATCACTCCTACATCTATAAGAAATTTGAATTTAATTTGATTGGTGAAATGTAAAATGAAAATAGGTTTGAACATAATTTTATTTATGAATTATGTTTTGAAACTTAGGTATCTACAGTAAACTATATAACAACATAATTTTATTTATGAAAATGATTTATACTTAGGTATCTACTGTAAACTATATAACAACTAAACACATAAGTGAATATTATGATGGTTAAATTTTTCTACTGAAAACTGAGGTATTAGCTTATTCTTCTAGATTGATCATTGAAAATCAGTTGTGTATTGTGGATTCCAAACTGTGATGGGAACAATAACAGAGCCCATTCGTGCAAAAGAGTGAAAATGATAAAATCAAATGACATTGGTGAAAAAAACTTTGAAAGGTAGAACTAACCATTGTATGGCTGACTGACCATTCGATGTACTTCAACTGACTTGGCTGTTCAACAAGAAATAATAATGCTATTTTTTTTTCTGTCCTGTATATTGAACAATTAAATCATTAGAAATTTTCAAAATTCATGAGTTCAGGATGAAGCACTTGCAGAAACTTAAAGTCTTCCTTGGTTTCTTTAACTTTGAAAGATCAGGATCAGTTGTTTGCCCATTATGAGACATTGTGTTTATGAAACTATTCCATCTGTCCCTCTTATAGGGTTACCTATGATTTTGCTTGCTTTTTAAGAACAGTAAGATTATGTAGTTGAGAATTAGTAGTCATGGACAGGAAAAAATAGTTTATTATTTACTAATTTATTAATTAATTTATACTTGATTTACCCCTTTAAAATTGCCATATCTATAAAAACAAATTGTTTAATATGTTCTCTAAACTTCCATTCTTATGATTCGGTTCAACCATCCAAATGAATCCAAATGAAGTGAAAGATTTATGATGTTATGCCTTAGGACAACTTAGCAAATCCAAATTTGTAGATCAGTCTGTAGATCCACTATTTTGTTTTGGGGGGGATTAGTTATGTATTTTTTTTCCCTATCAATGTTGGTGTGATGCCTATTGTTGTTGTACCGTTTGTGGAGGACGGGGGAGGAAAGGACAGGCGTATTAGGTTTGACGTTGTGTAGTGTGATTAGTGATGGTGTAGTTTGGTTTGTTGTATATTTTTGTCAAATGTTCATGTGGGTGGTTGGGCTTTATTGTTTTGGGATTATTCCTACATCGCGTCCCATACTAATCTATTTGTTTCAGTTTAGTATCCATGGATACAACTTTGTTATTTGCTACATAAAAACAGTTTATTGTGCGTCGTCTGTTACAGTTATACTTACTTGGCTTGCGCCTTTCATAGGTACTTCACTTTCCAGTTTGAATTCATACGTTTATAGGTAATGTGGTTTTGGTCTATTAATACATTCTACGTTTTCTTTTTGTAGAACATTCAGTTTTTGCAAATTTTGTTTTATTTTTCTGTCTTTTTTTGTGTTTATTTTCGTTTTGTGTAATACCTTAGTGGGTATATCAATGCCAATTCGTGTTGGGTTTGGTTCTATTGTTTCACCCGCTGAACAGCGCGAACGGAAAAACAAAACGCGCAGAGAGTCATATGCGCGCAAATCTGAGGCAAAACGCAGCCGTATTGGGACTTCATCAGGATCGTTTGGTCAACCGTGTGACGGTAGTTCACAATCAGGTCTGCGTTTTGAAATGTTAACTCATGTCGATACGTTAGATCTTGCCACGTAAATATGTTATCTAACGTCTTACTGTTTCACTATCATATTCCCATTATTATGGCCACGTATTTTGAACCCCTCTGTTCCACATTCAAATGATTGCCCACTAAACTCTACCTCCCTTCACAAAAAAACTGTGTCCCCTTTCTGCTTTTCCAAAAAAACATATTCACTCCCAAAAAACTACTTATCACCTTACATGCCTTTGCAAATATTGTCATGTCTACATTGTTGGATCGTACTTTTGAATGAATACTATGAATTTGGTGCAACCTTAGTTATTCCTATTGTTATTGCATCAAACAGTTCTACTGTGATTCCTACATCCACATACCGCCTTACGAATGTACCAGACTGCACGTTCTGCGGAGCTGAACGGATCCAATATGAAGCTCCCACCATGTGCTGTTGCAGAGGCGAAGTTGTTCTCGTGACATCCGAAATGCCAGAACAATTGAAATCATTATACACATCTGATGATGCTCAGTCAAAACAATTCCGTTCTTGCGTTCGCACATACAACAATACGTTTGCATTTACATCCATAGGAATCTACAATTTTGACAAAAACTTGTGCAGGCGCAACCAGGGCATATACACTTTTAGAGTTCAAGGCCAAATTTATCATTTCATAGACACTCTCTTGCCCGGTGGATGCCCACCTCGAAATCTACAGCTATATTTTTATGATACAGAACACGCTCTTGATGCAAGATTGTCCTCCACTGACCGTCTTGACAAGGATTTGGTTGCACGTTTGATAGATGTCATGTCTGATAACCCGTATGCAGAATTTTTCAAAACCCTAACTGAAATAGACCAACACAATGAGTTTTCCATCATTTTGAACGGGGATCCGGGGCTTGATCAGCGCGTATACAATAGACCCACATCATCCCAGGTTGCTGCAGTATGGGTTGAGGATGGTAATGACAACATCACATCAAATAGGAACATCCGTGTTTACGCCCACAGTGGAAAATCACAGAACATTCATTACTACTATGGATGTTACGATCCGCTGCAATACCCCCTCCTCTTTCCCCTTGGAGAGGTTGGTTGGCACGAAGGAATACCAAAAGGTAGGCCTCCCTCGGTGCAGGCAATCTCCCTCCCTGTGTCATCCCTCATGATTGGTACTGCGGGAATTGAAACATCAGACGACTTGATTGCAAACGAGGAACAGCTGCACACGACTGGCAAAAAACTGCAATCCGTGTCATGCCGACAATATTATGCATACAAATTGCAGATGCGTCATGAGGCCTCTTCATTCATTCTTCATTCAGGTCGCTTATTCCAACAGTATGTAGTTGACCTGTATATTAAGATTGAAACACAACGGCTGGACTACTACCGTAGCAAACAGCGCGATTGCAGGTCTAGTTGACAGTATTGGTTCAGGTTTTGACAACACCAGTGATATTGGCAAACGTATAGTTCTGCCAGGTTCATTCATCGGTGGCCCGCGTGATATGCGTGGTCGTTACATGGATGCAATGACCCTTGTACAACATTATGGTAAACCAGACTTATTCATTACTGTCACTTGTAATCCTAATTGGCCTGAGATAAAAGAGCGTCTTGCCTTTGCTGATGAGGTTCAGAACCGACCTGAACTTGTGGCCCGTGTATTTCGCGCACGCCTAGAGGATTTTAAAAAAGACATAGTGGCAAAGGCGTTACTGGGGAAGGTGGTCGCATATACATACGTGATTGAATTCCAAAAACGTGGCTTGCCGCATGCCCACTTTTTACTCATCTTGTCCCGTGAAAATAAAATCTCCACATCCGCGCAATGCGACAAGCTCATCACCGCCGAAATACCTGATCCTGAAGTAGATCCAACACTGTATCAACTTGTAAAGAAACATATGATACACGGCCCATGTGGTTCCATGAACATCCAATGCCCTTGTATGGTTGTGAAGCATGGTGCTGTCTTGCCGTCATGCAGGAGCAAATACCCACATACTTTTTCACCTCTTACATCCTTTGATGAAAACTCCTTTCCTACCTATAAGAGACGTGAATCAGATATAACTGTACATGTGAGGAAACATTACCTAGATAACCGTTGGGTTGTACCTTACAATGCATTTCTACTACGCAAATATGATTGCCACATAAATGTCGAAGCTTGCGCAAGTATTCGTTCAGTTAAATATATCTACAAGTACGTGTACAAAGGTCACGATCGCGTCAGTATGGCGTTGTCAGGTGTGACTACCGGCGAGGTGATTGATGAAATTAGTAATTTCCAAAAGGCCCGTTGGGTTTCTGCCCCTGAAGCTGCATGGAGAATATTTGGTTTTCCGATTTCAGAAATGAAGCCAGCTGTACTCCAACTGCAAGTACACCTTGAAAATTCCCAATACCTCACCTTCCATGGTAATCAGCGTATAACTTACATAACTGGATCCGTTGAATCATTACGCACAATGTTGACCCAATTTTTTTCTATGAACAGTTCAGATCAAACAGCTAAATCATTAAATCTGCTGTATGTTGAATTTCCTAATTACTTTGTGTGGTCTTCTCAGAATAGGAAATGGACGCAACGTAAAAGGCGGGAGGTACTTGGTAGACTTGTTTCGGTCAACCCTATCGAGGGTGAACGCTATTACCTCCGCCTTTTATTGTCCAATGTGCGCTCCCCAATCTCCTTTGCAGATCTAAAATCTGTTGATGGCATTGCGGCACCCACGTTTAGGGATGCAGCTGAGCGTCTCGGACTATTAGCAGGTGACTTCATTATACGTTCATCGCTTGACGAAGCTGCAATCTTCCAACTACCAACCAGCCTACGAAAATTGTTCGCCACCCACTTATGCTACTCAGACGTGCCTAATCCGCGTGCACTTTGGGAAGAATATAAGTCCGCTTTATGTGAAGACTTTTGCAACTTTCAAAGTCAGATTGAAGCTGAAATATCAACATTATCCTTATTGCGTGAACTGTTAGGCGATATGGGGAAAGACATTGCCACTTATGCCTTGACTGATGGGGTATTCAATATACCTGTGCCTGCGGAAGGCACGCGAGAAGTTATGGCTGAATACAACATAGTTGTCAATGATACAGATCTTAACAGCATCTTGTCCTTGAATGACATGCAACGAACAGCATTTGAGGCTATCATGTCAGCGGTGCGTGCAAATCAAGGAAAAACATTTTTCGTTGATGGTCCAGGGGGGACTGGCAAAAGTTTTCTATACAGATGCTTACTGGCTGCAACAAGGTCTAACAAATGGATTGCCCTTGCAACTGCCAGTTCGGGAATTGCTGCGTCTATGCTACCGGGTGGTCGCACTGCACATTCACGATTTAAATTGCCACTTGATGGGGAATCTAGATATATTTGTAACATTGGGAAGCAATCTTCAGAGGCTAGACTACTCAGAGAAGCGAGACTTATTTTATGGGATGAAGCATCCATGGCTAACCGCAAAGTTGTTGAAAGTTTGGATACAACACTACGGGACATTTTGGGTGTCGATACCCTTTTTGGTGGTAAAGTTATGGTATTCGGAGGCGATTTCAGACAAACATTGCCTGTAGTTCGATCAGGCACCAGACAAGATTTTGTTGACGCATGTCTCCTCAGGTCACAAACAATATGGCCACAAGTACATAGACTACGGCTTGTAGCAAACATGCGTGCCCATGAAGACCCCGGATTCTGTGCCTATTTGATGCGCATTGGTAACGCCACTGAACATAGTGTTACACCAGGGCGGATTAAGATTCCATCCACTTTTCTACTTCCTTGGATTAATGAGTCTGCCTCGCTAGCACTTCTATTCGCTGCGGTATACCCAGATTTACAACTATTTCAGACCGAACCATACTCTCTAATGAGCAGGGCCATCCTGACAACTAAAAATTCCATCGTTGACTTTATCAACACTTCCTTAGTAACAGCATTTCCTGGCGAAACTCACACCTATCTTAGCCATGATATGCCTGTAGATGGCAAACATATGCATTGTGAGGATTATCTACACACCTTATCCCCAACTGGGTTACCACCCCACAGGTTAAATCTCAAACACAACTGCCCTGTCATGTTGCTACGCAATTTAAATCCATGTGAAGGTCTGTGTAATGGCACTAGATTAATTTGTGATTCATTTGGGGATCACATTTTAAGTTGTTTTATTGCATCTGGTGACCATAAGGGAAATCATGTCTTCATCCCCAAAATACCCCTGAAGGTCTCCAAGGATGAAAACTGTCCAATCCCATTTAGACGTGTCCAGTTCCCCATCAAAATCTGCTTTGCAATGACAATCAACAAGTCGCAAGGACAAACACTAGACTTTGTTGGCATTTACTTTAAGGAACCAGTTTTCTCACATGGTCAACTATATGTTGCCATGTCCAGAGCGCGCAATGCCGAATCAATCAAAATTGTGATTTGCCCTGATGATCCCCGGCCAGCATTGGCTGACACAACGCTAAATGTGGTTTATGAGGAACTCTTGCCTTACATTAATTAGGTTCCCTTGCACCTTTGCCCTTTGTTCTCCCCACCCCTATATGTACTTTTGGCTTCCTTCACTAATCTCATTAACGGTTTTCTCATTTGTATTGTTTCTAATTTGCAGTCCACATTACCATGGCTTCTGAGGTTCCAATTGTGGAAGTAAAACCAAACACCCGGGGCTGGACCTGTCGTGTGACATTGATCGAAAAACAAAATGTCCGCACGGCCAAAAGATCACCCTTAAAGTTTATGCCAATGATCTTGCAAGATTCCACTGTAAACACCCACCTAACTGTATCTATATGTATATATGTCATATCTTATAATTCAATTCATTCTGACATTTTTGGTTCATTACATTTCAGGGCACCAAAGTCCAGGCTACTGCATTCCAGGGCGATATAGAAGGGATTGATCAACGCTTGACCCTGTATTCAACCTACCTCGTCTCAGATGCCTATGTGAAGACAATAGCTGACATGCGTTTCAACGTAGATGATACATACCCATATGTTTGGTCATTGAACAGGCGCACACTAATTCAGGATGTGGATATATCAGAAGGGCCTAACTACCGCAAAATTGCTGAAGCAGAAACTACACCATTTGGAGACATCTTTACCAGTTTTCTCCATGATACACGAATCAGTATACCACTCTTCCTTACAACTGTACTTCATGCATCCCTTTAACACCTCATTCATAAAATTTAACTTTATATTGCAGATATATTGGCTGCAATTGTCAAAAAACTACCACACAACTTTATTGTTTCAAACAACAAACAACGCATTGCATGGGATGTTGTGCTTCTTAATGAAGAGTATACAGCATATATGCTCTCCTTTATTGTTTTTATTTTCCCCTGCAGAAAATTTACTAACAACTTTTCTGGTTTTCTCTGCTATATTTTCCCAGATGTATTCCAATCCCATTTACAATGTGGGAGGAATTTGTGAACCAACAAGGCCCTGAAATTGAAAGTCTTCTCAATGTTGGGGACTACCCACTTGTACTTATCAACCGGGTTGCTGTCAACCTATTCCAAGGTCACCGAGATTTTTAAAAACACTTTCAATACAAACTTTATAAACAATATGCTATATATTTTTTTTTTTCAGGACTGACGCTTTCTACTTGATTCGACTGCCACATAGAACTTAACCCTCATGGCGAACGCGCTCAGTTGTTGAAACAGTGGTAATCCCACATAAATACTTTCAGACTTCCATTTTCTCTTCTCCCCTACCCCTTTCTCCGCTCACACTTTTTCCCATTGCTATTGGCTTAACTTCCTCGCCATAATCATTAACTTCCTGTGATGTCACCCTTTTCCCCATTGTTGTAGGCTTCACCAAAATGCCAAAAAGGTTTCTGCATTAGTACAGGAAAGGAAGCATGATGACGCTCTTGCTATTATTGCCAAACCACACTCACAGCCGCAAACACTCCTTTCCGGGTTAGAAACCAGTCTGAATAAGGTATGTCCTTTCGACCTACACACCTTGTTGTCATACATACCACTTTCATCCCTCACGCTGCTAAAAAAACTCACTTACCTGATTATTTACCTACACATGCTTTTACCCCACAGTCCCCCATTGTTTGGGTTACTGGCAAATTCACGCTCACTGACACATCAGAAGAGTTCTATTATGTTGGTTGCGACTACTGCAATCGCAAATTGCATGCTTCAGAGGGGATTACTTTTCAGTGCCTATTCTGCGGCCAGAAAGTGGGTACAACTATGAAGCGGTATGTTTCCCTAAACGTGCTCATACCACATCAATCATCTTATACTAATCATTTGCTATTCCTACAGCTTCAGACTTGAAACTTCCCTGACTGATTCCACTACGTCCATCCATGTCACCTTGTTCACCAATGACGTGTTGACCCTCTTCAAAGATGCACATATGGATCCTTACATAGACATCAACTTGGAAACTTTAGATGCAAAGCTTCAGCCACTGACATTTGTGGCTGGCATAAAGCGTACCAGATCGCATGAAGATGGTCTTCAGGGCAACCCCTACACTGTGGTGTGCATCTCACAAGTTCTTGCTACAGAACATGTTTCAATACAGACTTCATCTCCGGTTACTGCTCCAGACTGCACTACCATAAACCAGCGAAAAAGGAAACTGAACTTTGAATCACTTAAAAGCTTACCCCCCAAACAGGCTGACCAGTCTACTGAGGAAGCAGAACCCAGTGAAATTGCACCTGATGAGTTACTGGTCAACATGCGTGCAAATAAACACCACAAAAAGAACCTTTGATTTCCAAATCGCTTATGTTTTTTTGTTAGACAAACACTACTCTGATATGTAAATATAGTTGTACATGTCGCAAAGGGATCGCGAATCAAACTATGGGCAGCCTGTATGCTTTTATCCCTCACCCTGTTACTTTTGTATGATTCATTAACAGTATGCGTCATACAATGACCTTACTTGCTGGTGCATTACACATTTGTAACACTACAACTTGGCCCATCAAACACTGTTTTGCGGGTTTTGTGTAAACTATTGTACATAATGGCGTTGTACCGCCAGTTTTTCTCACTTTGAATCCACTTGTTTCCATCACACAACCTCTTTTAATACCTGCTGTGTGATGTCTTTTCTTTTCCCCTTCTTATTCCCCATTTTTTTTTTATATTTTTGCCATATCTTATTAAACTATCAGCACAAAATTAAAAACTAAATGATGCCTCACCATTTACTCATAAGAAATGGTTCGGTCCTTACCGTTAGGCCCTTTTAACATTTACTGAATTCGGAAAATCCTACATTTGAATCATCATTTCATGCAATAATAATTTTTTTTTCCTACATCCATTAAAAAGTATGTTTGCCGCAAAACATCCCCCTCTGCTTTTACTACTACATCTGTACACACAAGAGATTTCCATCCATGTTTTACTTACAAGCAGGGCTCGTATCACCTATTAACTAGGTAAGTACTTTTCTATGTCATATTTCCTTCATTACTCTAAATACTTTTTTCACTGTTCATTCTTAAGATATGGCTGATTTTCCATTAGCTAGCTGTTCTCATTACCCACAGTTTTTACTACACACAATAATAAACTATGTGTTCCGCAAACCATCACCCACTACTATTACTACTGCAGTTGTGCATACGGGAGATTTCCAACCATGTTCTACTTACACCCGGGACTCGTATCTCCTATTAATTATGTAAGTACTTTTCTATATCATATTTCCTTTATTTCTCTAAAAGATTGGTTTTCCTGTTCATTCTTAAGATATGACTGGTTTACCACCATCAAAATATTCTCATCTGCAACAGCTTACTCCTTAAGCAACCATCTATGCTTTTTCCTACTCACACCAAAAACTTTATTTATCGCAAAACATCCCCCACTACTTTTACTGCTGCAGTTGTACATATAGAAGGCTTCCATCCATCTTCTGCTCACAGGAAGGAAGAGGAACTCATATTTCCTATTAATTATGTAAGTGATTTTCTCTGTCGTATTTCCTTCATTTCTCTGAAAAATTAATTTTCATGTTCATTTTTACTATATGTCTGGTTTTCCATCACCTAATTGTAGCCATCTGCAGCAAAGTACTCCTCAAACTAACAACTGCGTAACTATGTTAAGGCTCCCTTGCCATCTTAAACAACATCTATCTAATTCATTAAAGAACTACGATAATTTCTTCATTACTTACTGTTCTTGTTTCACATATCTACGGTAAGTACCCCTTTTTACTACATTAATCTTCTTTCATTATACAACATGCAATGCATTGGCCTTTTAGATTTCACTTCTTATACTTGGAGCACATTTTTTTAAATGTCTTCGCAGAGGAACTTAAAAAACTTGGGAACAATGATGAGGTAAAACATGATCTATCATCCTCTTCATTTCATCTTTTTCATTGTTTGCCAAGTTTTATTATATATAGTACTGAACTTCAATCAATTATCAAGGTGTATTTTTTTGGAAAACTATAAGAACACTTTTAGCAGTACAGGATCAGGTTTACTCAAATGTTTTGCTAACACACAGAAGTGGAATTGCTACAGCCGGCAATTTCAATGGATAGTGTTTATTTTTAACAGTACAGTTTTAGCAGCGTAGTTTTTATAAAACCAATTTGCAGTGGAACTTACACTTTCTAAGTTTCTTTTGACACACGCGGTTTGTTTCTGTATATTTTTTTTTTGTCTCCCAACAAGGTCTGCCACCTTATGGATATATTCTTTCATAATTTACTCCTAAGATTTTCCTTCGCCAGCCTTCCACGCATCCCACTTAGCTGTTTCCCTCATATTGAAAATACCCGGACAATCAGTGTTCACTTTTCCAACCATTCCCGGTTTCAAATATCCATAGAGAATGAACTTGTCTTCAATGGAAATATTATCAGAGAAATTATGTTCTTGGAGGTTCTTTCAAACTTTAAAAAGATTTGATATGTTTTTTTGGTAACACTGACACCACGCTCAAGATTACTTCAAGTATTTGGTTTTGGATGCAATAGAAAATTACATCGTTTTAGTCAGGTTTCTCACAGAGCATGATATATATGTGCATCAACTAGCTTGTACACTTTAGGATGAAAGAAATGTGCTTCCGGCAAAAAAGTTGTCTTAGTCAGCGACTTAGGTGTAACTCTAAAACTACAGATGAAATTTATATACCAAAACTCCCGATAACTGTCGTCCGCTTACTATGGAAACCTTTAATAGTACATTGATTGTCAGTTTTACTTTTCAAAAGAAAACTATTTTGAATGTAACTCGCCTTTCTGTGCTATAGTCGGGTTATTATGTTAAATGTGCATGTATTTATATAATTTTAAATTTATTCTACTACAGGTGCTTTGTTGTTTGATCGAACTTCTATTGTCTGTGAAGTTTGATTTTAAAATATGAAACCAATTGTTGGAAATGATGGTCGCCTTCTTCTACCACTGCTTGGGCAAAGAATTTACTGACAATAATGCAATCATCTCCATGTACAAATGAAGCCCATCTCTTGTAACAGGTATTTTGAACTTATATACTCCTATTTTCTCATCCATTTAATTTATTCTTTTGACTAACATTTACTTGCTATTTTTTCTAATTTCAATTTTTCCTCTGTGATTTTTTATTTTTACTTTCTTAAATAATGAAGTGACTCGTGTCTCCTAATTGTGACGAAATACTTCTAACTTACATGAATACTTCAATTAATATAATTTCTCATTTTTACTTAAATCACCAGAATCAGCTAAAACAATCATAAAGATTCTGTTAAATTTGCTTCAACTGATTTAAATTATAATCTATTCAAAACTACATCACCAAAATCCATGACCTGTTAAATAAATTTTTAAATTGAATGCTACAAAAAACATTCATTTTAATAGAATATCATCAATTTTATTATTTTAAATCATAAAATATCACATTTAACGCAGGTAATATTCCCACATTTTATACAGAAAATTCCTTTTTATTTAAATTTCTATATTTATATACATTGTATTTGAAATTGGTAATTGTTTGAACGACAAATTAATTGTGCTTATCCCGACTGTTGGTACTCTACTCATAATAATCCCAACTATTGATTATTTCAAAATAATCCCAACTGTAGACCCCTTCTACCAATAATGGTCCAAAATAATCGATTATAAATAAATTCTTATAATTACTAAAAAAAATATGATAAGTAATCCCTTTAAATAATCCTAAATTTCAATGTTTACGCTTGA